TTCCCTAGTTCCCAGGAAAGGCTGGTAGACAGTATGAACCCTTTGTCCACCAGACAACGCCCCACCCCACTGTTCTGTCACACATAGTAGGCCAGAGGATGTTGGCTGAGCTGAATTCTGTGGTTTCCTAGGCCTAACCTGAGCTGTGCTGCAACCTAGAGCTTAACCAGCCTGACCAACGAGGGTCAGCTCTAGCCCTCCTCAGGGAGGGTGGTTTGCCCAGAAACTTGCTGTGGAGCCAACACCTCTCCGCCCCAACCTTGCTCCAAGGTAGAGTGGACTGTCTTCCTAGAGCTGGCGCCTTGGAAGTCTTAGGCTCTGCTCCTAAGACTTCCCAGGGTCAGAACTGCCCACGCAGAAGCCAGGCTGGCAGCCCTGAGTGCCAAGGAGCCAGAACTAGGGCTGGATGTCAAGGTCTTTTCGGAAGTAAGATCGTAGACTCAGAAGTCCCCTGTGGTGTGGAGGGTGTTTATTCCACCTTTGGGCCACAGGGCGCCAGGCACTTATGCCCTCAGACAGTGAATAGTGGAATGACTGCCACCAGGGTCCCAAGTTTTTGAGGGAGTGAACCCTGAGGCTCAGTCTCCTGACTGCTATGAAGCCTAGACAGGGCTGATACCACTATCCTAGGAACCTACCCTGTTTCCCCGAAAATAAGACCTACTTACAGGTTTTCTTCTGAGTGAAATAGAAGGCATCCCCCTGAAAATAAGGCCCCCTACGCTAAACTTGAGAGATTTGGTCCACTGATTCTGAAAGAAATGGAGTCACAAGAAATTCACCAGGAAATTCAGGAATTGGATTGTTATGATGATGTTCCAGAAGATGACATGCTTGTCACTGAATAAATGAGTAAATTCTTGATACTGTAGTTTGTCTGGTTTGTGTTGACAACTACCGTACTACCGTACCATATACAGGTAATAAATTTCCTTTATTTTCATTTAACAATAAATGTGTACCGTATTCTTCATGGAAAAATAATACATCCCCTGGAAATAAGACCTAGCGCATCTTTGTGAGCAAAAATTAATATAAGACACTGTCTTATTTTTGGGGAAACGGTATCAGGATCAAAAGTCCCGAGAAGTTTCCAGGAAGCGTCTTCCTTCATAAGCCCTCGGCTCCGGCTCCTAAAAATTGTAGGATAAAGCAGGGTTTTTGCATCTGTGACCAGTGAGGTAGGCAGGGCTGATATTCTCATCCTCCTTTTACAAGGGGCAAACTGGCCCAGGGTCCCATAGTGAAAAGATCAGAGAGCCCTGAGATGAGTTTCCCAACTCACTCACTTCACCTCATGGCCCAATTAAAAATTATCACTGGAGTAACTAGAGAAGGAGGTTGGAGGCCGAAGTACCTATGGGAAGTCCTTGGCATAGTGTGAGGAAGAGAGGGCAAGGTAGTATTAGGGTTAGAGAGGGAGGGAGATCTAGCCATGTAGAGCTTTGTAGGCTCAGATAAGGCCATTAAAGGCTTGAGGCAGAGGAGGATGTGATCTGATTATGTGGCTGCCAGATGGAGGCCTGGCTGAGGGGGCAGGAGGCTGCTGCAGTCATCCAGGTGAGAAGTGGCTATACATGGACTTGGTAGGGGATCAGAAGAAAGGAGGATGTGGTTGGATTCTAGGTATATTTTGAAAATACAGCCCTTAGGATTTGCTGACAAACTGGATATTGGTGTGAGAGAAAAAGGAGTCAAGGATGACTCCAAGGTATTTGGTGTGATCATCTGGAAGAATGGAGTTGCCATTAATTGAGGAAGATGGAAAGGAGCATTTGGGACAGAAAATCAGAGGTTTTTCTTTGGACATATTGAATTTGGGTAGCATTTTAGACCTCTGAGTAGAGTTTATAAGCAAGCATTTGGAGAGGGGAGTTTCTAGGAGAAGTTAGGGCTGGAGATATAAATGAACTGTCTTTTGTCCTGTGGAGTCATCAGATGAAGATGCTTAAAGCCATGGATTAGAGCATTCTGGGAGTGAACTGAAGACCAATTTTGGGTCAGGTCAAGAAGAGGATGAGGAGATGGAACCAAAACTGAGGAGTAGCCTGTGAAGTTGGAGAAAAATCAGGTTAAGTGTGGAATTCCATTGTGGAGGACTAACGAGGAAACTGTTTCGAGGAGGAGGGGGAAATCAGATCAGCAACATGGAAGTCATGGAGACTTTGGCAAGAGTCAAATGGTGAAGTGATAGGGCAAGAGACTAGCTAGGTTGGAGAGAGGACGAGAGCTGAGAACTGGAGAAGTGAATGCAGACAGATCTGTTGAGGTTTTAAATAAAAAGGGGAATGAAACATGAGGTAGTAGCTGGGGGAGGATTTACAGATAAGAGAAATGAGAGCTAGTAAGTACCCTGATAGAAAGGAAACTGGGCTTGCAAAGTGTTTGGCATAGTGCCTGGCACTAAGTATATGAAGGGTTTCACATGCATCCACATACCCAACAGCTGTCCCAGCCCGCTCTTTCCAGCCTCCTGCAGGCCTGATGATCCTACATCCCACCTTCCATTCCCACACTGTCAGTTGTGTCTGAGCTCAGTGCTGGAAATAAAAGAAAGCGACTCCCCAGGAAACCTGGCCTCAGAACAGCAACAGGAATGTCACAGCACCCAAGGCCTGGGGACTGCATGGTGCTACATTACCCTCCCCAGGTGATGCTGCCATCTCCAGGCAACACTCCCCTTCCCTCAATCCCCCCAACACACTTGGCATAATCAGGCCTAAGCTGTCTGGCCTGTGTGGGGACCAGCACCAGAGGGCTAGGGAAACACTGAGTAGCATTTCTCTGCACCTGTGAAAGCTCTGTAGGATGAAAAAGAGACTTCCTACATGTCCCTTCCTCATTGCTTGACAACTAAATAATTGAGCTCTTGGGTACTGTCTGGTTTTTATCCTCACAACAACCTTCTGATCATCTCCATTTTACAAGGAAATGTATGCTCAGATATTGTAGTAAGTTCTTGAAGGCCACACATGTTAGAAATAGGAGCTGAATGTGGTTGGCCCACTCTCACTCAAGTTCACAGCAGAGAGCCCTCCCTGGGAGTGACAGAGGGAGGCTCCCCTGCCCTGCCCAAGGAGGCCCGGAGGGCTCCAGCCAGAGGTAAGGCATCCAGCTCAGGAAGGTACTATGGTGCCATATGTACGCCAGTTGCAAAGGAGGAGCCACTGCTATTGGGACATCTAACCCTGTCTGCCTGAGGACAAAAGGCAGGCTAATTAGCTCTGGAACGTAAGGTTGATCCTGATGGGCAGATGAGCAGGCGACTGATAGGTGGCGGTGTCAGTACCTTCCCTGAAGGGAAGGATGCAATTTATAGCCCAGCCTCAAGCTTCCATGGAACAGGAATGTAGGAACGATGGAGGCCAGAACTGTTGCTGGGAGGTATGGGAGCCTGTGCCCACCTGGTAACCTCTCACTTGGACTCTATACAGTTCTTACCCCATCTTCCCTGCAGCCTTACCCTGGACCCCAACAGCCAGTGCTAAGAGACCTGTGCCGAGATGTTTAGGAGTTGGGCTAAATTCCACTAGTGGGAGATTTCACCCACAGGGCCATAACCTCTCATTGTCTTGTCCCAGAGATATCCCATTCCTTCTGTGCCATGGATCAGAAGTCACTCATTAGTGCTCCCAGCATCCCCACAGATGGACTTTTCTGAGTGGAATTTGGGCCTCAGTTGTAGATGATGTCTCCATGGCCTTGGGCCATACAGATGTGTGCTGAGGATATGCAGAGTTGGGCCTTGGCCCTGAGCAACAACTCCCAATGCCTGGGTCAAATGGGGAGCCCCCATCTCGGCCTGAGTCATCTCATGACAGATCCATGTGACTAGTATGAAAAGTAAGAGTCCTGTGGTATGAGCAAACAGGAAGTGTGGGGTTGGGTGGGTTGGCCCTGGGGGAAGCCTGGCCCCACTTGGCCCCTCCCCTGATTTAGAGGGCTGAGTGGGGGCTCTTGCCTGTGTCAACAAATCCTATTAAGACTGAGGTGGCACAGAAGGTCAGAGTCAGGACCCCTAGTCTGAGGGCTGGAGAAGGAAAGAAAGCTCCTAAGACCATATCCTGATGTATCAGCCTAGAGTAGTGGTTCTCAACCTTTTTAATGCCGAGACCCTTTAATACTGTTCCTCATGTTGTGGTGTCCCCCAACCATAAAATTATTTTATTTGCTACTTCATAACTGTAATTTTGCTACTGTAATGAATCGTAATGTAAATGTCTGTGTTTTCAAATGGTCTCAGGCTCTACAGCGACGCACACATTCTGTAGAGTAGGGGTGTCGAACTCAATCAGAGAAGGGGCCAAAATCTAAAATCCAGCCTAAATCGCGGGCCGAATGGTTTACTGAACAGTCATAAACTGTCATTGTGATGGAAACGCAGCGGAGTGCAGTGATGACAGCGCGGTGCGGGCCACATTGCAAGGCCTGGCGGGACGGATTTGGCCCGCGGGCCTTGTGTTTGACACATGTGCTGTAGAGTCCAAGACCATTGGAAAACACAGATATTTACATTATGATTCGTTAACAGTAGCGAAATTACAGTTATGTAGTAACAAAAATAATTTTATGGTTGGGGGTCACCACAACATGAGTAATTGTATTATTAAAGGGTCATGGCATTAGAAAGATTGAGAACCATTGGCCCAGAGGCTCTGAGCAAGTCATAGGGCCTCAAAGAAACTGGAGTATGTCTGAAACTGGGAGCCAGCAAGAATTTTGTGGACAGGGAAGATGTGCCTCCTGGAATTGAGTGCACACACTCTACGAGGTGGGATAGCTTGAGCAAACTCTGGGGAGGAGGAGGTGGGCAGGAGGTTTGGGTCACTGGACACAGCTTGGTTTGGGTGGTACCCCCTTCCTATGAAGATTATGGTTTTGACCACTCCCATTTTCCTTTGACAATTGGGCTGCCCCCCCCTCCCCCCTCAGCTATAGCCTCAAGCCCTGTGCCTTCCTGCATCAGGTCTCCCCACAATCATCCATCCTAATTTTTTCAGCACAACAAGGCCAGTCAGCCTGCCCATGGCGTCCCCCAACTCTCTCCTCTTTATGAACATTTCAGCAGCCCACACCCTACACCTGCACCGGCCGACATCAACCAGAAGCAAGGTACAGATCTGGGATGGGGAGGGGCCCAACGAGACAGGTGGCTGGGCCCTTTTTACAACTAGAGAACCTAGTGCTGTGCAAAATTGGGGCCCTCCTAGATGCCAGAAAAGTGGATCAGGGGACCTTGGAGGTACCAGAGGGCTGGGAGAGATGGTGCCAGGTCAGAATCTGAAGGCTTCAAGTTGAGGTAGAAACCTAAATCCTGAGTGACCTCCCAATGCCAGTATGAGAGCTGGCATCTGTGTAAAGCTGATTAACTATAAAACTTGTAGCTGTTCCCTCCCCCAGTGAGAAAATGGAAAGTGGTGGTTGTGATGGCTGATTCACCTCAGCCTCAGGCGAAGTCATTCTGAAATCAGCCACTGTCGACTGTGGGAAACCTGCTGACTCAAAGGGGGTGCTTGAAACCCTGGCTCCACAGGCCAGGTTCCCCCAGACTTGGGGCGGGGGAGTAGGGGGAGATGCAGTAGAGGCCCCAGTTGCTGACTATCAGTGGCAAGGCCTGGCCTCCCATTCCTGAATGACTCCATCTCTGCCACTGACCAGCCAGTGTCCTTAGGCAAGTCACCTGTCCCCCAACCCTTCTGCTTTTGGTTCCCTAGCCTATAAATGCAGCACTGTTATCACACTGGGATAGTCCTGAACAAAGCCATGTCTGGTACCCTAACATGGAGGGTGGGATCTTAGAAGGCCCCCAACAGGAAGCTCTAGAATGCAAGTAAGTAGCTAAAGTGGCCTCCAAGTCAGGCTAGCTCACTTGGCCCTCTCCACTGCAGTTCACAGGTCTCTGCAGACTTCTGACATCTCTGGCTTCTACTCTCTGACCTCAGGCAGCATGGGACAGCTCCCCCACACTGTGAGCTGGTGAGTGTGGGCCCAGTGGGAAAGGGGCACCTTCTTATTTAGATTTTTACCTGTCCTTTTTTCCATCCTGTGCTGAGCACCCTGCTGCCAAATATATATATACCAGAGCTGGCCAGCAGCTCTATCATTCCTCAGACAGCCCGACATATTCCCTTTGGCAAGACTGGAGACTAGGTTACAGTCCCAGCCCTGTCACCCCTGAACTCTGCTTCACTGTCTGAGACTTGAATGAGAGAACCTTGGACTGTTCATGTGAGGAAGCAACAGTAAGCCTGAGCAGGGAGATAACAGCATGAATGGCCATAAGAGAGGTTGTTGCTTCTCAGCTACCTGGTGGGCAGAAGGATACTTCCCACTCACCTCAATGCCTACTGCTGGCTGGACCCTTCACTGACTGAGCTGTTTGAGGGGCAGGGCCTTTTCCTTGCCTCAATTGTGCCTGCCTGAGCCTAAGCCCTGGGCCAGTCTGCTTGGAGAGCCTATTAAGGCTGGGCCAGGAAAAGCCAGCCTGGACCCCAAGTCAGTAGGCCTAACTATAAGCCAGAAGGCCTGTCTTCGGCTTGAGCTGGGTCTGGCAGGCTAATTGGTCCTTTTCTTAGCAACCACAGTGCGATTTGGACAGGTCCTTAGCCTCTCTGGCCTGGGACAATCACTGAACATCAGGAAAGCCTGGCTTCCCAGGAAGGCAGGGTAGGTCAGAGGCCCACCTTTCTACTTGTCTTTCATTCAAGGTAAGCTGATTCCTCTATATTTAGATTCTCCTTGGACAAAGTTCCACTCTGAATACAAACCATGAGTACCCCCCCAGGTTTGAACTTGCCAGGCAAGGATCTGGGCACCAGAAAAGCACTGCTGAGGAAGCTGCTGATCCCCAGTCTCCTCCTCACAGAATTCACTCTTAACTAGTACATAACCCAGACAAGTGGCCAGCCAATTATAAGGCACTATTAGCAGGAACCCAGAGAGGCACCTCATCTAGCTTGGGATGTCAAGGGCTTTCATTTAGGATGACCAGGAGCTGAAGCAGGCAAAGTGAGCAGGAGAACAAAGTGAGTGCAAAGGCCCTAGGACAGGTATCAACCCTGTACTGACAGGGACATTTCATTTCAAGAGGCTAGGCTAGAGAGGACCTGGGAGCCTGCTAAGCTGGTCCCCAGAGAAAGCTGTCATTTCTGCCCCTTAAGCACCAGTACTAGCCTGTAGAGGGAAATAGGTGCAGCCTAGGTTGCCCTCTGGTGGCAGATGCTTAAAGCACAAATTGGAGTGGTCCAAGCAGAAGCCAATTTGTGTCTCATCTATGGGTCAGGCCTGAGCATAAAGGGGAGTCCTTTCCCACATAGAGCCAGTAGCCAGACTGCTAACAGCTATCTCTCCCAACCACAGGCCCAGCCCTCCTCTCTATCCCCTGTCCCCTTCCTGCGGATATAGACAGCACTTCCCTGCCCCCACTGCAGCCCCTGGCGCCCCCTATCCCAGGTGAGTCCCCTACCCTGCAGCCAGGCTCCTGCTTTCTGTTGCCCAGGCTTCAATGCCCACACAAGGCCATGTCCAGGCCACTGCTTGCCCTGTGCTAGTTGTTTGTCCTTCCGTCTGTCTGTCATTCTGCAGCACCTTGCTGCCTTGTGTCTGAGAATTAAGTCAAAGGGGCTGCAAGAGTTCTAAACCCAGGCCAAATTGTGCAGCAGAGCACGACAAAGCAGCCAGGGACAGTACATGTTCTGAATTCCTGCTGAGGGAAGGGCTAGTCAGAATTCTCCTGGGCATTCCCTTAGCTCCGCCCAAGCTGAGGCAGCATTTTTTACTTGTGTCTCCAACCTCTGGCCTGCTCAGAGACCCTATACCAGTTAAGCAGCAGGAGGCAGAGTGGTAGCCATACAACAGCAAGAAAGTGGGAGGTGTGTGTATGTAAGCCCCTTTAGCTCACTCCCTTAGTGACGTGGAATAAGGGACTCAGACATTTTCAGCCCTGTGGAGTTCACTGCCTATAGGGTAGGAGGTGTAGATATCACACCAGCAGTTGAATTGGGCTATGCCCTGTGGGTAATGGGAAAGCCCCAAGGAGAGCTTCATGAAAAAGGTTAACATCTCCCGAGTAGCAGGGGATGGCTGGAGGTGGGAAGTGATGGAAAATGGGGGGAAAGATGGGGCTTGATGTGTCAGCAGGGCTCTAGGCAAAGGGAGAATTTCAGCAAGAGTAGTCAGGAGCACTCCGGTGTTTTTAAAAGGTCACGCTGGTGGAGAGAGTCCTAGAAGAGTCAGGAGAATGAGGAAGCACACAGGGTAGTCACAGGCTCATGAGGCTGAGCTGGTGAGGGCAGATGATGACAAGGGAAGACTCAGAAGCTATGTAGGGCTTAATTAGTAACCACCTAAAAGATGTTTGCTATGATGTCTTTGTGATATGTTGGGAGCAGGTATTTGTATGTATCAGTGTACTTGTATGCAAGCCAATGAGGGTGGGGTATCTGTTCACCTGTTGTTTAATGTGCAGGGCCTCTGTGTGTGCCAGGATCTGTCCTGCACACACCTCAGTGTTAACTCTCCTCCTGCCTCTAGGTTCACCCACCCATCCCTGATGCTAGGTTCCAGTGTACCTGGTCACCCAGCAGCCATTCCCCACCCGGCCATTGTGCCCCACTCAGGGAAGCAGGAACTACAGCCTTATGATCGAAACCTGTGAGTGAAAAGGCACAGAATGAGGGGATGTGGCGGTGGGGTGGGGTGGGGTGGGGGGACAGGGAGCAGACTTCAGACTCACATCTATTTGTCAGCCAGGATACACATTTCTTCCACCAAGCCTAATCCTGCCAGAGGAAGCCTTTGGTCAAACTGCTTTGTAGCTATTGCCATGGACTACTGTTTTTGGAGGCTCAGAAGCAGGAGGGATTGGGTGAAGTGAGAAACAAGGCTTTAGTCTGAGCCAAGAATGGAGGGGCTGAGAAGTCTGTACACATGCTTTTCTTACTTAGCTGCAATATTCCTACAAGGAACAAATAATTAACTCTGCTCACTCTTTTTGAGCAGCTAAGAAAACACACCAAAAAAACAAAATTTCATTAAAAAACAAACAAAAAACCTAGTATCCATGCACTTACACATGCACTGGACACACTACAGGGTGGTAGCATTAGGTGGGCACTGTGGGGACTCCCAAGTGATTGGGACATGTGTTCCAGGAAGACGCAGGCAGAATCCAAGGCAGAAAAGGAGGCCAAGAAACCAACCATCAAGAAGCCACTCAATGCCTTCATGCTGTACATGAAGGAGATGAGAGCCAAGGTTATTGCAGAATGCACACTCAAGGAGAGTGCTGCCATCAACCAGATCCTGGGCCGCAGGGTGAGGCCATAGGCAGGTGGGCTGGCAGGGGTGATGCAGCCTGATGATTCCCTGACACATCCCATCTGCCCCTCTTTCCCCTTTGCAGTGGCACGCACTGTCACGGGAAGAACAGGCCAAGTATTACGAGCTGGCCCGCAAGGAGAGGCAGCTGCACATGCAGCTATACCCAGGCTGGTCAGCGCGGGACAATTACGTGAGTGGCCAACAACACACAGTAGGGATCGGTAGGGGAACCTTCAAGATTCCATGCCCTGGGACACAGCAAGCAAGGACTATTTGAAGGCACAGATGAGGGGAGGTGGTGGACTGGTGGAGGGTTCATGGCCTCCTGTGGCTAGCTCAGGAGGGGATCAAGCAAGGGGAATCACCCTGAAGGCAGACCCGTGTCCTGTTTTCTACTCAGGATCTATTCCCATTCAGGGCTGTTTCCCAGTATTTGATTGGGGCGCATGAGCAGAAGGGAAGGGAAGTGCCTGGAAATTACTCTTCCATTCAAAATAGAGACAAGTGTGAGACAGGGAGGAGGAATCCCTAATTGCCCCATATTACCTAGAAAGAACTGCAATCAACGAACTGTGCCTGGAATCCCAGCGTCAGCCAGGCTAGGCTGCAGGCATCCCAGCCATTGGCTCACTGGGATTAGTGTCCACCTCCCACTTCTGAGATCCCACATCTTTATTCCCTTTATTCCCTGCAGGGGAAGAAGAAGAGGCGGTCCAGAGAAAAACACCAAGAATCCAACACAGGTGAGGCCTTCCCTCAGCAGTAGTGGAGGCTCCTCTCCAGGTCCCTGTAACAAACATCACTGCTCTAGCCCAGAGGAAGGGGCAGAGTAGTTGGCCATGAACCTTCAAATGCCTGGGCTCTGAATACAACACCTGGCATCTCACAAGTCAGATCCCTACTTTAGGAACAGCTATACTAAGTCCTAGCAGAAGCCAATTCATGTAGCAACAGTATAGGCCCAACACACTCCCTTGGCTAACCCTATCCTGCTCACAGCTTGCCTGTCGGAGAAAGTGAGGAACTGACTGACTGATTCTTGTTAAACCCAAACACTGCATCCTGATTAGTTCTGAGGTGGACAGCAGATTGTCTGGTGACTGAGCCAGGCCCCATGGCTAGGCCCAGTAATCACCCAGCTTGCTGGCTGGTGCTCAGCAATTTCTCTATCACACTGACCCAACTCCCAAACACCCTGTTTTTCATTGCAGGTTCTGGACCCAGGGAGCCCACACCCTTCTTGTAGATAGATTCCTGCCCCAATTCTGATCCACATTCATGAATGCTGTTCCCACATGCTACAACCAGGGCAGGGCAGGCCTCAGCTATTTTTCTGAAGTTGCAGAATGGACTTTACTTTTCATATAGAAAGGTGTGGAATATGTTTTAGTTATAGCACGAGGAGAGAAGGGTCAGGCAGATAGAGTATTTGCAAAAATGGAAAATAAAATGGGAGTTTTGGGGTGGAGGCAGCCCTAAGGAAGAAGAGGTTGGATCTGGATCCTGATGGGCATCCCTGGACTCTTCTGCCACAGCTCCCATGCTGCAAGTGGCCCCTCAAGCCTGAAAGGAGCTAGCCTGATATGGTCCTTTCTTTTCCCCACCATTCTTCCCACTGCCTCTTCTGCCCCATTGGGTGCCATGCCCACCTTTCCAAACATCTCGACTCTGGGCCATAGGGCTCCCACTGGGGCTGGCTGTGCCGTGGAGAGGCCCTCTGCCTGTGGGGGCTGTGGGATATCTGTGACTAGTTAACACTGATGTTGCCTCTTCTTTCTGGGCCCTGCTCTGCCCTGCTGCCTGCCTGCTCGCCCTCTGCCCTGCTCTGCCCCTCTGGCATGGCTGTGAGCAGACCCTGGCTCGCCTAAGAAATGCCGTGCTCGCTTTGGCCTCAACCAGCAGACGGATTGGTGTGGTCCGTGCAGGTGGGTTTGTCCCCACCACCATCTTCCCTTTGCTTCAAGCTGCTTCCTTGATTCTGCACATGTTCTGCTGGGCTTATGTAAGCCTTTCTGTGGCCCCTCAAGCCCCAAAGGATACCTGCAGATTGTAGAGCCTTTGCCTTCTAAGAATGGGAATGAATACTGACACATCTTGTAGAGAAGATCTCTTGGACCTATGTAGAAGGAGGGGGAGAGAGAATTGTTCTAGAAGGGAAGGAAAGGCAGCTCAAGAAGGTAGTTCTGGTGCCTAGGATCCTTTGCTAATGATGGTTTGGTGCTAAACAGGCCCAGTTGGTCCTCAGTAGCCAAACCTCACACCATTCAGATGGCTGGTCAATCAGCTCCATCACTTAAGTTGAGATCCCTGTCTGAGCCCATAAATCTAAGAAAAATAAGGTAACTATAATAGAGAATATCATGAGTAACCTAGATGCCAAGTGATTCACCATTTTGTACATATTCAGAGGGCTGTCCTAACCAAAGGACCACACAAAGGTTTCACCTCATAACAGAAAATATTCCTATGTATATGAAAAGAAGGTATGCTTATCAAGTGGCTAAAAGTTGCCTAGTTTAGGTTCATGCCAGGCCTGATAGGGCCAAGGCTGAGGCTAGTCTAAGCAGTTAATTAAGGAATATTTGTGCAGCCCCTCAGAGTGCCCTCATGCTCCTTTATCAAAGGGTAAAGAGAAATCTTGGGTAATGTGTGCATGTATATGTAAACATGAGAGGCAACCCTGTCCTCAGGGAAAGTCCTACTTTTACCCATTCCACAATCAGAGACAAATTGTGGCCCAGAGAACTCAATAAGAATGAATGAGAAACTCAAAGAATCACTGTTCATTTCTGTTTCCCCTTCTGGCTTTGAGCCCTGAGATTGCTCAGCCCAGGAAGCCACAAGCATTGGAGCCCCTAGCCTTAATGCTGATGATCTGAGCCCCATAAACATACATGATTGTAGAGGCTCAAAGGCTCTCCTGGAAAACAAGGCAGCCCACAGGTCCAACTACAAAAGGTCCCTGTGCCACCATGTGGTTGTGCTGGCAACTGCACCTGTCCCAGGTCTGGGCCAGGCCCCGCAGAGTTGCAGTGCTGATTCAGGTCTGAAGGACAAGCATATCCAAATACTGCGGGGAGAGGGGATAAGAGGTCAGCTAGGCCTGTGCAAGGACAGCATTTTTTTGGTTGTGGTGTATGACTATGAATTCACCCTCTGTTTACAGATAACTCTCTTCACTATTCCTAGGAGGAAAAAGAAATGCATTCGGTACTTACCCGGAGAAGGCCGCTGCCCCAGCCCCTTTCCTTCCGATGACAGTACTCTAGGCTGCTCCGGGTCCCCAGTCCCCCAGGACTCACCCTCATACCTCCTGCTGCCTCACTTCCCTACTGCACTACTTGCTAGCCCTGCGGAACCGGCGCCTACATCACCAGGTCTCTCTGCGGCACTCAGCCTCCCAGCCCCCTGGGTCCCCACGGGCCCCCAGCAGTGCCCTGCAGAGTACACAGGTACAGCAACAGGAATTTCGGAGGCAGGCAGCCTAGCATGCACAGGACACCTGGCCTCCTCCAAGGACCCACTCTTTCAGAAGCAGCAACAGAGCCCCAAAGCACACGGAAACCGATCAGGGGCCCTATTAACTCCTTCTTAGGGTCCAGGTGCTGGAGATTTCAGAGGCTGCACAACTTCTGCCTGAATCTGGGGCCAACAATTCAAACTGCTCGGAGTGGTGCATCAGATCTGTGTTGTCATTTGATTAAGGGCATCTCCTGTGCCTGTGGCAGCCTGCATTTTTACCATCTGTCTTGTTAGTCAGATGCCCCTGCCTCCTTTCCTTTCCTGCTATAGATCATAGATGGACTACACTGAGTCAGCTGCTTTCTCTACCCTGCCTCCTCACTGCCCCCTCCACTACCACACCCTCCCAATACCAGACACCCATGGACCAAGAATGAGTTCGTTTATCAAACATATAAGCCTGGTCACAACCACAGTACTCAAGACAACAGTGCTTTTCTCTTGAGGGCCTGGCAAAGCCATGTTTTACAGAAAATTAGCTACCATTTTTAAGCTGGGCCAGAGTAATCCTGCCAAATTCTCAGGAGCTTGTAAGTGGAGGGGATGAACAGGTTAGTTTAAATATCACCCTAGGCAACAGAAAATCCTAACACTACCTTAATCTGGCTCTCTACTCAATTACTTGGAAATGGTTCCTGAGAAACGCAATCGCCTAAGAAGCCGATACCAAAGCCCCAAGACCTGTTACTGGTGGCTATAGTCAATAGTTCAAAGAAGTTATGGCCCCAAATCCAGTGTGCGTCCCTCCCCATTCTGAGGGCCTTTGTCACAGACCCATTTCTAGCTTATCCACCGCTTGGGCAGTGGTGAGGGCAAACCCAACCTTCTGTGACAGCCAATGTCTATCTTCCATGAAACCAGGCCAGCTTCAAATTTCCTATGGTTCTGTGGGAATGAGGACTATTACCAAAACAATAAGCCCAGAAAACCTTTAGGGGTAGGCACTGAGTTTTCACCAAAGCCTAATTTAACCAGTTTATGAGCCAAGCTTCAACCCTGAGCCTTAAAAAAAAAAAAAATCTTAATTTAACCTTTTTTGCCTCCTCACCGTACATAGCCTGATTCTAAAGAAAAAAGGCTGTCCCTGTACCCACATACACCCTACAACAAATGCCTTTAATTCCTACTTTAGCCACTGGCTTTTCAGATTCCAAAGATCATGTATTGTAGTGTAGTGTTGCAGAAAATTTTGAGAAAAGGACCATTGTAGTATTCAAAGTATTTTTGTATGTCATAGAAAACTTTAAACATGAGAATAAAGATACTTTTCCCTGTGTTTTTTTTCTCCTCAAAGCTTGACCTTGAAGAATAAGCTGTTTTCAGAAATAGCATAATTTTCTTCATAGCCGTGAAACTTGGGGTTTATTCTCTACTATGGTACGCATGTTAAAGACAACCTACAGAAGCTGGGGATTACTCCAATTTCTCCTAAGGGGCTTGGGCCTACCCAGCTCATGCTGCGTATAAGCTCCCATTCCAAGCCTTGCTGTGAACCCACCAACCTTCTGACCTAAAAATTGGTGCAGTCAGAGGCCTGCCTACTTCCCACCCCCGTAAGAATGTTGGAAACTGTTATCCACAGACCGACCCTAAGACAATCCAACTAGAAATAGGTGTACATGACCACCAGGTTCTGTTTTCTCTGAGAGTTAAGATGAAACTAACCACCCATAAGTACAGACCCAATTACAAGGAAAATAAGTCTTTTTACGTACTGGTATAAACTCCAAAAAATATTTAATAAAACCCTATCCTCCCCAAAACTACTAAGGTGCTAGAGGTATCTCCATATTTTTATATATAAAACCTGATAATTCTGCAACCTTTTTACACAGCTTCCATGAAAATGTTAACTTTAAGACCCATTATGAATGTAAAAAGGGTCATAAAGCCACCTCAATAGGTCAGTCAACCATTAGGTATACACAGAACTGTATACAAGCAGCCACTGGGCCACCATCATGCATTGTAATTGTCACTGAGTTATATTTATTGGACTTTGTGTTTTAAATATTTATAAAGTCAGAGTAGTGTCTATTTAAAGTAGGCCACTGAGTATTGTAATCCTGGAGTTTACAATGGAAGGGTGTAGAAGAGACCAGCCATTGACTTGACATCTGTCCCATTTAAAGAATTCCGCTCTGGCTACTGGCCTAGATGTTTCAAAAAACTACATTCTAACCAAGGCTTATGCAAGACTGGGTTACTGCATCTGATTAGATGTCTTAGAGTACACTGGGTACATGAACAATGCACTCTTTGTGTATGTGAGGGTAGAGAGGGAGGCTTTGGCAACATTGTTAAAATCAAGCCAGCCTTTTTAAAAACTGACATCAAAGAGGAAATTCAAACCTCCTGGATCACACACATTCTTATGAGGTCTCATGGTGACTTGAGAGTGGAGCCTCTAATTCAACTTCAAACACCTTACCAGTTCCACCTTACTGCCAGCCAAGAACCAGCCTCATTTTCTGAGACCTGAAACAAAATAACCTAACACCTCCTCTACATGTTCCCACACAACTGGCATAATTTGCTTGAAATACACATCTGAAGCCCTCTCCTGTTGCAGCTGCTCCCAACTGCACTCAGGATATTGTGATGGCTTAGCATGGCAAAACTAGGAGGGATTTCCCATTTAAAGATGTTTCTCCCTTTTATAGGAAGCCCCAGAGCTGGGCTCTTCTGAGCTATTAACTATCCTGAATGGCCCAGAAGCATAGCTATTCATTGTATAATAATCCTGGACAGGAAGGCCACGCCTGGAGGGAAGAGAAATAGTTCTTTACATTGTTCCAAAAAAGGAATTGATTGCTGTGTGCATTACTAGAAAAACAGCACAGAAGAAATATGCCAGGCATATATATCAAAGTAGAAGATTTGAGACCAAAAAGTAATTCATAACATAAAAAACACTAAATTGGCTTTTGAGGTTGGAAAGGCTATTTAACATGAGTTTTTCTCAGGTCTTTTCAGAACTTTAAATAGTTCATGATGGATCCTTGAGACCAAACTGGCTATGCAAGCAGATCCTGATTCTTAGGTTGAGTCAACTCTCCCGATCCCAACTATTCCAACTACTTACTTTCTGAGATCTCAAATCACCACAGGACTCTCAACTCAGGTTTCTGGGCTCTCCGATGTCTGGAGCAGCTAGGCTTTTAACTGGACTTCTATTTAAAGTAGGCCACTGGAAATTGTAATCCCAGACTTGCCCATAATGGGCATGGTTGTTTGAAAGGAACCCTAATTTCATGTATTCAAACAGCAGTTTTTAAAAAGAACAGATAGGGATATTCCCATAGTTCTGTAGAATAAAAGCCTAGCTCAGGTTAGGAGAAATTTTGAAATAAAAGGTAGTATGGGATTGGGCATAGAATTAACTGGAAAGGGCAAATTCTATCCTAAGGTTAGGAATTATCCTATCCCTGGCTATACTTATGAGTTACATTACTATCAATAAAAGGGATATTTCAGTAACCATGAATTATATGAGAGATAGTTAATTAGACGTTCAGGCTGATACTTATTTCAAGTTCACAAGAGGCTCTGGACTATTCAAAGGGTTTACTTTTTCATTCAGTGCTCTCTTATTCCTTAATCGGAAGTCTTCAGATATGTTGTACAGTCAATGTCAACAGAAAGAAAGGAGGAAGAGTTACATTCCACTCACCATCACCCTCAATGTCAAGGGTGGGAGAAAGAAAGGAGGAGGAAGAGTTACATTCCACTCACCATCACCCTCAATGTCACTCTGAAAACCCCTTAAATATAAATTTCTGAGAATATAGCGCTCTGTATTCCTACTCCTCTTGTAAACCTGCCAGACAGACATATCTGCAAACCATTTGAAGCAAAAAAAAAAAAAAAAAAAAAAAAGTTGAGGTTGTGAAATGGCATGATCAGCACAGAAAGGGCATATGAATTCGTACCATAAAGGTGGGAAGTATTGAAAGTAAGAAAACTTTTATGAAATAGGCTGATCCTCAGAGTGAAACAAGAGGCTGACATATAGCAGGTTAGGTGCTCATTAAATAGTTCCTGAATATATCAAGTTCAGTGGCTTTAGAGGTCATGAGTACAAGAGAAGTGGAAGCAGATATTGTGAGCAACTACCTACCGGCGTATAAGACGACTTTTGAAACGAAAAAAAGTCAACCGAAAATCGAGGGCAAAAGACCAAAATTGCACAAAAATTACCTGCAGATCTTGACAGCAAATTAAGTCTTTTCTTTGAAGTGGGGGGTAGTCTTATACAGTTAATATAGACCTAAACCTATGTTTTAACTGTAAAATTAGGGGGTCGTCTTATACGCCGGAAAATATGGTACATCATCCACAAAAAGCCTCAAGTACTAGCACACGGAACAGCTTTATCCAAAAGTGCAAAATTCTGCAAGCTAGCAGTTAGCCATGAATTAAAAGAACACTTTTATACCACCAATAATGCTCAACTATTGACAACTCAACAGGAACCACCAAGTGTCCAAATCCTGCTTAGGTATTCAAGTGACTCAATCTTATACCAAGAATGTTCTAAACTACTTCTTACATCATTGTCTTGATGTATTCACTGAGTTCTTACTCATTCTTCCTTCTTTTTAAAGATATAGTGATTTTTAAAAAAATATTTTTTACTGATTTCAGAGAGGAAGGAAGCGAGACAGAAACATCAATGATGAGAATCACTGATTGGCTGCCTCCTGCCCACCTCACACTGGGGATGGAGCCCACAACCCAGGCATGTGTCCTACTGGGAATAAAAAATGTGACCACGTGGTTCATAAGTCGATGGTCAACCACCAAACCACGTTGACTGGGCTAAAATATAGTGATTTTTAAAAACAGTAAAACGAGTCTAGTTGTAAAAGCCCTCAATATTCAGAATACTTTAGTCCAGAATTAAAAAAGTTTTAAGTTCTAACACTCAAAAATAGCAATATCTAACTTGAGTCTGATAAACACTCATCCTCGCGTCACAAAAATCCTGCCAATCTGCCCTTCATGTTTCTTTCCAGCCAATAATCACCAGCCTTTGCCGCCAGTTCCAGACTGAGCACAACTTTCCCTCCCTCACCTTGGCATTCCCCCACCCCACCCCCAAATCCAACTTCACTTTTGAAAATAAACATTTTCCTCATGAAACCTCTCCTGGACCCTACTTGAAAAGCTCCCAAGCAGGCAACCATGTCTTACCCTTCCTACAAAGGATAAACCAAGAGCTACATTTTAAGTATTCAACCATTTCATATGCTTTGCTTTCACTTGCATTATTCTCCCTTATTCTCTTCCTTCCTAGCTGGAAATCAGTTTTCACACAAATCTAGATAATCGAACATTATCAACTTTTTAAAGCTCAAGCAACTTAGTAGGGAAAACATTTGAGTCCTCCCCACTTGAATGTATACTCAGCTTCAGAAAAATAAAAATGATACCTTCAAATGGAAGTGGTGGCAAACAAGTTAAGCTTTGAAAGATAAGTGAGATTCTGATGTCTATGGCTATGGTAAAGGGTGCTCAGAGCATGAAGTCTGCTGTTCTCAGTTCTCATTCCTGGTGAAAGCCCCATCCTAACCTTATTCAAACTGCCCTATTAAGAGCCTAGACAACCTACCTATAATTTTTTAATTTATCCATGGATCAGAAAACAAATGACAGGATTTGCCAATTTTTAAGTACATTAAGAGATCGTGAGGTTTGGAATATCTGCCCAACCTAAGTCACATGCCTACAGTGACTCACTGTTACCTTCTCCAGCTAGTTCCAAGTTAAGCTCAGTTCAGTCCTAGAAGTCCACCAAATTGTAATATAGGTCTTGCTTACTTCCAGCAGCTGGTGTGTTCAAACAGTTGTAGAATAAACAAATCACAACTATAATGTCACTCAAGCATCTGTAACTTAAAGGGACGTCTTTGTGAATCTTTGGAAAAATATAAAAATTGTAAAGCAATACCTACCTTGTGTGTTGCTAAAGGTAGATTGATGAAGGCAAGCTAATAAACTACAGACATAATTCGGGATATTACAGGTTAGTATCAGAGCACCACAATGAGTATTGCAATAAAGCAAACCGTAATCCTTTTGTTAGTAGAGTCTCGTTTTCAATTTGTAAAACATCTGTTAAGCCGAAACTGGTTTGGCTCAGTGGATAGAGCGCTGGCCTGCGGACTGAAGGGTCCCAGGTTCAATTCCGGTCAAGGGCATGTACCTTGGTTGCGGGAACATCCCCAGTATGAGGTGTGCAGGAGGCAGCTGATCGATGTTTCCCTCTCATCAATGTTTCTAGCTCTCTATCCCTCTCTTCCTCTTTGTAAGAAATCAATAACATATATTTAAAAAAAAAAATCTGTTAAGTGCCATGAAGTGAAATGCAAGAAAACAAGATCTGCCTGTATAACCACTTCAGAAGTAACTTGCACTGAAACTGGTTTGGCTCAGTGGATAGAGCATTGGTCTGCAGACTGAAAGGTCCCAGGTTCGACTCCTGTCAAGGGCATGTACCTTGGTTGTGGGCACATCCTCAGTAGGGGGTGTACAAGAGGAAGCTGATCGATGTTTCTCTCATCGATGTTTCTGACTCTATCCCTCTCCTTCCACTCTGTAAAATATCAATATTATATATATATATATATATATATATATATATATATATATATGTGTGTGTGTGTGTGTGTGTGTGTGTGTGTGTGTTTTTTTTTAAAGAAGTAACTTGCTTTTACAATTTAAAATTAGAATCTATTTGAGGAGCTACATCCTCAGTCCATGACAATGTTAGGGAGAACTAATAAGGGCTTTGGTTTAATTTTCTATCACAAGTGACATAGTCAATGAAAAACTGAAAAGCCAAATGACACTCACAGAGGTATTAATCACCAATAGCACCACAATGCAGACTAACTACTGTTTCCAACTTATCCAGGCCATGCAGACACTAAAAAGGACTCCAGCCTTACAGTGTGACTTCATACCACAATATTAGTTTAGAAAAGCTGGGAAGTGTGAGGACAGGCAGGAGTGGGTATTATCTGTGAAGATAGGTTTGGCTACTATGGGGAAGGGCCAATCGCATAAGATGAGAGTGTGGAAAACTCTTGGTAGACACAAAAAATAGCAGATAGCAAGAAAGAGGGAAAAGGGTAGGAAAAGAGTGCTGCTGCTAGACTAAAGAGCCTCTTAATATCAAGCCTATGATTCATTTGGGTACACAATTATCTATAAATGGCCTACTCTTAGAAGACCCAGTGCACAGATTTGTGCACAAGTGGGGTCCCTTGGTCTGGACAGCGATTGGGGCCAGCTGGGCGGCTGGCCAAGGAGAGGG